CTTGCCCAACACCCCCTGGGACCAAACTCTTGATAGAGACAGCGTCAACCCCGGGATCCAGATGTTTGAGAAGCGTGTTTCGGGTATGTTCCTGGGAGAGATTGTTCGGCTGGCCGTGGTCGACTTAATCAAGAATGAGAAGACACTACTTTTCAAGAACCCGGACGTCGCTGCTGCTGGAGGTTCCATCCTCGAGCAATGGGGTCTTGACAGTGCCGTTATGTCGGCTGCGGCCAAAGACGAATCCGCTGACCTATCCGACCTCAAACAAGAGTTGAGCATCTTACTAAATGGCTTTGTCCCGACTACTGAGGATGCACAGACCTTCAAGGCTGTCTCATACGCGGTGGGACGCAGAGCTGCCAGATTATCTGCTGTAGCCCTTGGCGCCATTGCTCTGCAGTCCGGCAAGGTACAGGATCCCAAGGAAGAAGTCATTGATATCGGTGTTGATGGCAGTCTTGTCGAGCACTACCCTCAGTTCCGTGAAATGATCTACGAGGCCTTGGAATCTATCAAAGAGATCGGCCCCGAAGGTTCTAAGAAGATCCGCATTGGTATTGCCAAGGATGGAAGTGGTGTTGGTGCTGCATTGATTGCCCTCATTGCCGACAGGTCATCCAAGACCAGCCAGGCCGTCGCAAACGAGAAGATCAAGAAGGAATTGGAGTCAATTCCTACTGAAGGTATGTCATCATCTCGCAATGCTTAGTCAATGGGGCGCTTTCAATGCACGTTTTCCTTGGTCCATCAAGCTAACCTCCCCAAAGCTGGGTCCATCTTTTCTTACTCCAACCTGGTGACGGGTGGTATTCTAGCTGCTGCTGCTGCGAGTGCAGCTTTTTGGTGGGGTAGACAACGTCGTTAAGGCGGCTCCTTCATGTCGAAAAAAAAAATTGGGTAGTCCCTTTGCCTTGAAGGCTCAAGGGTGAGGCGTTGGTGCTGTAACTATAGTGTTATCGAATAAACTCTTTTCTGTGGTCTCACCGACTTCACATATCTTCGACCAGTTATGGCGACTCATGTTGACTTAAATCCCACGTATATTTGATATCGGCTCATCTATTATCTATTCCTTGTTGTAATCTATCCTATCCCTAGTGTGGCTGTTCCATATCATAAAATCAAATTATCCCCCTCCCGGCATATAGACGTGAGTCTAGCATTCTGGAAGCATGTACCTTGCCCGTGTCAGACCTCTTCTAGCTTCCAAATGCTGCGGCAGGGTAAGATCTATCTCGTTTCTTCCTCTGGGTGGAGCTACTTCGTGAACTGTGTCCAGATGCCGTCCCTGGAGCGCCTCTCCTGGGCGGCGGGACCAGCCCATTTGCCATATCCGCGGGCAGGTCATTCCACTCCGTCTCAGCCCGTCTATTCTGGAAGGACTGCCCGGACCCAGTTCTGCTGGCCGGCTCAGGCCTGGGAGGCCCGCCCATCGGTGGGAGGTTAACAACGGCAGCGGTTGCGCTGGCCTCGACAGATTGCTGCTGACCGCCGTTGGCAGAAGCTGGCGCCGGGATGGCGGTCAAGTCACGCTTGACAATCCAGGCCGAGTCCGGGCGCAGCTTGATGTAGTACCCATTCACGGGGTTCGCGTTCCTCTTGAAGCCGCGGCTGTCGTACCACTGCAGCCCTTCCTCGTTCTCCGTCCAGACGTGCGCGGACATGGTCTTCACGTTGAGCTCGGGCTCGGCCAGGGCGGCCTGGATGACCACATTGAGGGCCGCGGTGATGAGCCCGAGGGAGCGGTAGGGCGACAGGAGGCACAGGGACTGGATGTACAGCGATCGATCGTTCGAGTATACCGAGACTTCTTCTGCGCGGCACACGACCCCGCCTACGACCTGCGGTTCTTCGCCCTCGTGGGTCCACGTGATGACTCTGGAGAAGCGGCCCTCACCCCCTTCGTCGGCGGCACGGTCGTAGAAGAGGTCGCTGTAGGGGACCTGGAGGAGGAGGCTGTTTATCCGTTTTAAGGCGGTGATGTCGGCGCTTGTGATGGGGCGGATGTTGGCTTCGCGGGGCAGGTTAGGGGCGGTGATGGTCGAGGCAGGCTCTCTTGGGGGAGGGGCGGCTGGTTCTGGGAGGGAGCCATTGGTGTCAGCGGAATCCTCTGCGGGCGGTGCTGCTGCGGGAGCTTGTGATCCCGGGGGAGGTGCGTATTTCGGCGCTTTTGGCTGGAAGAACGAGCGGATCGAGCTCTGGGCCGGCTTCATTGGGTTTGTTGGGAGAGACATCGTGAAGAAAAGTAATATATATCAGAAAGTATGTGGTAGGAGGATACGGTGGGTGATCGTCAAACCACGCAGAAAAAGAAAGTGTTTAGGCTCGTAACATGTTGTTCAGAACGGGGTAACACAGATCAATGTCGAGGGGGTTCTTGTTTTTTGTAAGACAATGTGGCTCTTTGGGCTTCCAATGATGTGAAGGCTCATGCTCGACACGGAGCTGGAGTAATATGGGGGGCTGATGGAGGTCACTAATAATAATACACATGGAACGCTGAGGCGAGCGGACTAGTGAGGCCGACCCACTAGCTGATAGTGGTTGCAGTCCGGGAGCTACAGGGGGGGGTCACTAGGGGCACCTGTTCGGGGCACTCATCAGGGGGGAACAGGCACCAGATGGAGTGCTGAACTTTGGCCAATGCATTTTTCCTTTTTCCGAGAGGCAGAAATCGTCCAACTGGGGTCCATCGCTGGATTGTCATCATTCCGACACTTTTCTTAGGGGCCTTCAGTCGCTTCTCACCCGAACCTGACTTGCTTTTGCTTCACCTTGCCGCGCATTGCCTGCCCCAAAGTTCTGAGCTAGCCATCACTTTAATCTTCTTCTGCCTCGACTTCTTCTATCTAGCTTTCTCCCCCGTATTCAATTGACCATTTCTCGATTGGCTTCCGTTCGAGCGTACAATGATTCGCTAGTGACGACAGTTGACAAATCCCGAACTGAACCTGTATTCCCGGTCCAGACAGGCTTCCCCCATCTCCCCGGTACTGGCCGACACCATCACACGACTGGGTAACACAAGACTTGGTCACCTTTCTTACCACTCTAACCTCGACTCTCGGGGCCCTCGTCCCCTCAAAACAAAATGGACTCATCAACAGGCAGAGCCGGCCTGATCCGCCCTCGCGATGATATCGGCAGCATGGACAAACTGGTATGCATAACCCGCCGACATATGATTTTCTTCCTTACTCCTGCTGGCGGTGCTTGTTGATAGGGATCCTACTGCTTGATGTTTTGCTGGGCGTGTTTGCGCAGCTGACTGTGTTCGGCTGAGATGTTGGGAGTGCATTTTGCTAACCTGAGCATTTTCTGAACTGTGTAGGCGCAATCGGTCCTGGACGACGTGCTGTACAACATCATATCCGACTTGGTAATGAAGACGCATCGAGAAGAGAAGACCGCAAAGGCCAACACGGCGGCCATACATATCGAGAAGCTTGCATCTGACGCCTCCGAAGGCTCGACTCCAGACTCCAGACCCGATGTCCGAATCGAGACCGACGCTGCAATCTACGAGGATGGCAAGGTTCTACTCAAAGGCAACCCTCTCCAGACAACCAAAGATATCCTCTGTCCCAAGTGTCATCTACCCCGGCTATTACACCCGACCGACGGCAAGGGAGCCAAGAAGCCAGACCCGACCGTTCTCTACTGCAAGAGACAACCATTCATTGAGAAGCCTGGCTGTGACATCTACGGCCAGAGCTGGGTCGGGCCAGGACCCGGCAGGGGCAAGAAGAAGAAGGACATGGAGAAGAAGGAGGATGCGCCAGCCACTCCTGAGCAGAGACCTCCCAACGTGCTCTCTTTCCCTTCTGCAACATGCAGCAAGTGCAAGCGATGCATCTTGGTGACCCGTCTGAACAACCACATGGGCTCGTGTATTGGCAACAGCGGCCGCAACGCCAGCAGAGCTGCGGCCCAGAAGATGAGCAACGGCAACTCGCAAACCGACCAGACCCCTCCTTCATCCCAGAAGGCGACACCCGCGCCGGGATCCCGTGCAGCAAGCCCACGGAAACGCGACGCCAGTGAGGATGTTGGAGAGGAGTCTGAAAATGCGCACAAGAAGAAGAAACTCAAGGCCGGTAACCCGAAGAAGATCACCCTCAAAACCGGCAAGCCGAGTCTGAACAAGAAGGATTCGAAGCCACCATCTCAGCTGAGCCAAGAGCACAAGGCAGGCCCAACAAGCTCACCAGGAGAGACGGCACCTAAGAAGTCGACGGGGCTGGGTATGAGCCCCGTGAAGAAGCTCAAGGCTTCCAGGCCTATCCCAAATTCGCCCCTTAAGAATGGCGGTGATGCCGAAGTGGATTCTGAGTCGTCAATGACCATGTCATCACCACCAGTTGCGCAGACGACCGCATAGAGCGTATCAAGATAAAGGTGCCATCACAAACATAAGTTCAAGCGTATAATGCAGCCTCTTTACTTTTGTTTTCAGCATGCTCTATCTGGATCATGAAGGTAGAACCAGGCGAGGCTGGATACTCGATTGCTCGAACTCGGGGCAAGTTTCAGGATTGCTTCCGCGTCGTGCTCTTGGCCTATTTTCTTTTTCTTGATTTCGTTTGAAGAGCATTTTGGAAGCGGAAGGCTGGTTTGTACTATTTTCTTGTCGTTCACTTGCAAAGGACCTGCGCATGGGCCTTTGCTGGTATCGACCGCATTCTAACAGCATTACGGACCGGTATATCAGGCGTATAGGGGACCAGGGCGTCGTTTTCATTCTTTCATACAAGTTGGTCATTCTGCGATTCAGGGTTCGAAATGCATTTATATATATAATTCTCCTTGAGAGAGATGCAGAAGAGTAAGGGCATTGCAAAAGGAGAAAATAAAAGAAGCATATTGATTTTTCTAAATACATGACACGATGTTGAGCACGAGCACTCCTGATATGAAGGCAAACCGGAACTCCCAGTGATAACTCCAGAACGCCGCTGCACTCTGCCGTGCTTTATAACCTATGTAGACCTATGCTCTCAAGCCTCTTCCTCGGCATCAACGACCTTGGCCTCGATGATCTTGACCTCGTCCAGTGGACGATCTTCGGCTCCCGTCTTGACCAGGCCCATGCGCTTCACCGTGCTCATGCCGTGCTTGACCCGCCCGAAAATAGTGTGTTTCCCGTCGAGCCAGGGCGTAGGGGCAAGCGTGATGAAGAATTGCGACCCATTGGTGTTGGGGCCGGAGTTTGCCATGCTCAGGATGCCGGCGCCCGTGTGCTTCAGTCCAGGATCGATCTCGTCCTCGAAGTTGTCGCCATAGATGGAGGTCCCGCCGCGGCCAGTGCCAGTGGGGTCGCCTCCCTGGACCATGAAGTTGGGGATGATGCGATGGAAGATGGTGGAGTTGTAGTAGCCGCGGCGGACGAGGGTCGCAAAGTTCTTGCAGGTCTTGGGGGCATGCGATGTGTAGAGTTCGACGGTGATGGAGCCCTGCAGTGGAGCTGTTAGCCATGTGATCTGCGCCTTCAGAAAAGTCAGAGGAGTTAGTTACATACCGTCGACGTCTGTAATACAATGTCGTGATCCATGGTGGAAAGGAACTGCTCCGTGTGCCTGGGACTCTCGTGGTGCGGTGGGAAGCTTTGTTCTACTTTGAAGTCGTTCTGGATGCCCCACCTCGCGCCACGGGCAACATCCACTGCAGGCCCTACAGGAGAGTTCCAGGGGGCGCTGAGCTTGTATTGGTGGATCGCCTAGCAGCCGCCCCGGAGGCACTAATCTAATCTCTGTTCAGGGTAGCCTTTCCTCCAGGCTACTTACCTATTTCATCATTCACCTACCCTGCCATGGTTCCCACACACCTCACAAGCAGGAAGAATCATTAAGCAGGTGTGCCTTCCCTCGTCCTTGGAGAGTGCTTATTTTCTTTCTCTCCCTTTCATTCGTTTGTTCAATACACGGCTCATGGCTTTTTAGCGAGCTAGGGTTACGCACACTTGTCTGCCTACATAGGACACGTTTGGGTTCAGGGTTTGTTTCACCAACAATTTCGTCTCATCAGCAAGAGGAACACCAGACACACGACTTTTTGACGCTTCGACTAAAGCAAGATGTCGGGCGATCCCTCCCTTTCGATGCCTCCCGAAGGAGGTCTAGACGGTTTGAACGCAACTGTCAAGGCTGCTCTAGTCCCCGAAACAATTTGGGAGACTCTCCAAGATTTCAGCTTTCTCGCCTTGGAGCTGAAGCTTGTCCTCAGTGCCCTAGGAATCATTTACGTTGGAGCCCATGCCGCGCTCCGAAGACCTCCATCAGCAGCTCCCCCAAAGGCCAAAAGAAATGGTCAGAAGCCAGAGAAGGAGGAGCACTTCTCCCAGGGCCTAGAGCTCTCTGACGCCATTATGTTCCCCCTCATGGCAGGAATCATGCTTGTCGGTCTCTACTATCTCATCCAGTATCTCCAAGACCCGGAAATCCTCAACAAGATCCTACGCTGGTACCTGTCCACCATGTCTATTCTCAGCTTGCTCACCCTATACACCCATGGCTTTCAACTGGTTAGCTCCTTCATCTTTCCACACTACTGGCGTGGCAAGGATGGCAAGCTTCGTCGAGCCGACCAGAAGGCTAGGGCCGTGAGAGTATGTGATGATGCTGGAAACCTCGTCGAAGCTTCCAACGCGAATTCGAGCCCTCTACCGTGGCCATTATCCATTCTCGCCCCCACGGCTAGTGCAAGAAAGGCGGCGTGGGATATCCGCAGCCTTGCTGTGCAGCAGTGGACTTTCAAATTCTACGCCCATGGATTTGGAGATGTGACGACCAAAATCCAGCTTTCCCACATGATGGCATTTGTTGCCGCTGTCGGTACTGCCATCGCATATACATCGACCATGTCTCCCTTCCTCTCCAATATTCTTGGTTACGGACTCTGCTATGGAACATTCATGCTACTCTCTCCGACAAACTTAATGACTGGAACATTTGTCATGATTGGTCTCTTTTTCTACGATATCATCATGGTTTTCTACACGTACGTACCCAAACCTTCTTACAGGTACATCAAAACTAACCAAAAGAAACACAGGCCTTACATGGTGACTGTGGCGACGAAACTAGATGTTCCTATCAAGCTTACTTTTGAAGCGGCGGAGAGGAAAAGCATTTTGGGATTGGGTGATATCGTTCTTCCTGGTATTGTGATGGCCTTCGCTCTCCGTCTTGATCTATGGCTTCACTACCAGCGCAAGATCAAGTACGAGCCGACCGAGTTGAAGCTCATTGAGAAGGACGCATCCGGTGCGCTCGTCACTCGTAGCGAGACCAAGTATCGAGAGATCAAGATGCCCTATATCGACGTCAAAAATAGATGGGCCGACCGTTTCTGGTCTCAATCTTGGCTATCTTTTAGACCTAGCAACGCCCCTCTTGAGCTCGCCGGATCCCGCTTCACCAAGACCTACTTCACTGCCAGTCTTGTAGGATACAGCCTTGGTATGGGCGTCACGTTGGCGATGCTGTTGATCTTCAGGCACGGCCAGCCGGCATTGTTGTACCTTGTCCCTGGTGTCTTGGGATCCATCTACCTCACGGCTTTGGTACGAGGAGAGCTCAAGTTGATCTGGGGATATACTGAAGATGGAAGCCTTGACACGAAAGATGTCATTGTCGATGTGGATGGGGACGGCCGTGCAGTCAAAACGCTTGGAAAGCTTGAGAATGGAGTGGTCAACACCACGATTGACATTTCCAATCCCACCCAAGATGACACGCACAAAGGCAAGTCTGAGAACAAGAGTTCCGAGAAAGGTAATGAGAAGACTGAGCAGGCCAAGAAGAAAGCCCACCCGGTGCTTTTGATTTCACTGGAAGCGCCTGCGGAAGAACCTGAGCAGTAGAGCATGTCCAAGCCTACCTAGGTAGCATGGATTATTAGAGGTATAGGTACCTACAGAGAACAGATTCTCAAGTTCGGAGTAAAATGAAATCAATTCGGCATGATACGTTAAGGACAATGACAAATGTCTGATTGTGATTATGCCGCCTTCCATTTCCTACCCTAAACTATGGGCATGTTACCCGCATTCTTCTGGGCCACTGCATCCTTCTGCAACCTGTCTCAAAGTAATGCTTACAATGTCTCTTGCATGTGTTACATTAGGTAGTTGAATGGTCGCCCATATTTCCTTAATCGGAGCCCAGCCCAACGTGGGCACTTCCTGCGACAAGGTGTGACCGTTGTGAGGAGATTAAACACTCGTTTTCATCTTCAAACCTATCACTCACTGCGTACACCATCACACTTGGAGAGAGCTCTACCATGGCCAGCGACAACAAAACAGTTGTAATCCAATGGGTCCTTGACACCCGTAAACTCTGGCCGCAGGCGACGCAAACCAGCCAGCTTCGACAATATGTAAGTCTCTCCGCCCCAGAAGACAGACATCCAAGCACCAGTAGCTGAACACCCCCAACAGGCGGCCAGGGCCCTCGAGCTCCTGACGCCCACGCAGCGCGAGGACGCCCTGCGCTACGTCCACTGCAAGGACGCCAAGATGGCACTGGGCTCGCAGCTCCTCAAGCGCTACCTCATCAGCCGGTACGCCGGCGTGGCCTGGGACGCGGCCTCGCCCACGCGCAACAAGGACACCAAGCCGGTATTCCTCCACCCGGACGACGGGTCCGAGCCCCTCATCTTCAACGTCTCGCACCAGGCGGGGCTCGTCGTCGTCGCCGCGGCCCTCCACCCGCCCCCCGGTGTGACGCTGGGCGTCGACGTCGTCTGCCCCCCGGAGCGCCGCGACCGCGACCGGCAGTACGTCCGCTCCGACGGGTGGCTCGCCTTCCTCGAGATGCACGCCGACGTCTTCTGCCCCCGCGAGGTGAGCTACCTGGACCGGCTGCCCGTGGCGGACGTGGACGTGCGGCTGCGGTACTTTTACACGCTGTGGTGCCTGCGGGAGGCGTACGTCAAGATGACGGGGGAGGCGCTGCTGGCGCCGTGGCTGGGCGTGCTGGAGATGCGGTCGTTTGCGCCGCCGGAGGAGGATGGCCAGTTGGAGATTTACTTCCGCGGGCAGAAGCTGGATAACGTGGACATGCACTTGGTGAATTACCTTGAGCTGTACATGATTGGGACGGCGGTTGGGCGGAACAAGGATGGGGAGACGCTGGAGATTGGAGACTACGAGCTGCTGGATATTGAGGAGGTTATTGAGTTTGGCGAGAAGGCAAAGGCTGGGCAGGTTCCTGCGTAGAAGAGTATGGTGATATGGGGGGTTTCGAAGGTGGTGTGAGAGTCTCTCATCTCAGGCTTGGGTATCGTCATGTGGCATTGCTTCAACAGCGGGCTGGGGACCAAGGTCATTTCTTCGAATACATAGACAACGTACGTGATAGTCCCGGTAGACGTTCTTATATTCGCTCTCGGCACGACTTTTTATGATTAACTTTTTCCATTTGGAGCATGTAATACTATCTGTGGGGTCGACTGCCTTATAATCGTGTTGGACAATGATCTAGACTCCCACATTACAAGCTCGATAATCTCATCCCAGCTTAAAAGTGCTTGGCGTAAAAGTTGAGAAGGACCTTGTAGCCGCGTTCGTACTCCTCCTTGACGCGAGCATCGCTCAGGTCGGCACGAGCAGCCATCCACCCGTGAATCTGGTCACCAAAGGTCTCCACGTGCTTGGGGACCTTGAGGGCGTCCTCGAACTTCTTAACAACATCGGCCTCCTCCTCCTGGGATGCGAGGAGGGCAAAGGGGATGTCGATGCCCTCGGCATCGGCGGGGTCGACCATGGCAGGGTGGGCGGATGAAGCAATGGCGAAGGGGTTGTTGGCGGCCTTGACGGCGAGAGCGACGACCTTGCCACCCCAGCAGAACTGTAGTGTTTCCGACAAAGCGTCAGTTTACTATTCGTTGATAACGTGTTCCACTCTGGTACGATTGTGGGCACTTACACCGAGGATGCCGAACTTGGTCAGAGACGAGTCCTTGTCCTTGATGGCCTGGACGTAGTCGGGAATCTGGGCAGCTACCTTGGGAGGGGGGTACTTTCCGAAGAATGCGCCCAGCTGCTTCTGCTTGTCCTCATTATCGGGAGGGTAGCTATAGCCATAGTCAGCGTCATGTTCGTACCACAGCTTGGGCGTGGCTAGCAAACAGACATCTCAATGGGGCAGGGCACGCCGTGGAACAGGTCTGGCATGAAGACCTTGTACTTCTGGTTGCTGTCGCCGTAGGCAAGAATGTCCGCGCCCTGGATGGTCTGGTCAAAGTATCCGAAGATATCATAGACGATGACAATGGCCTTGGTCGCATCAGCCGGGCCGGTGACATCTTTTACAAGGAGCACGTTATCAGCAGGGGGTACAGCATGTCATTGGCTTCGCTTGGCCGCGGAGATGCGACTTACATGTCTTGAAATCACCAATCTTCTCGTATGTGCCCTTGGCCTGGTAGCCCTTGGACACTACCGGGGGGATGTTGCAGCAAGCCTCATTGTGGCCGTGGGAAGCTGGCATGCGAGACATCTTGAGGGGCTGTGTAGAGAAGTCCTGGCGGAGCTTGGGTTGAGATGGAAGGGATTGCCGTAACTGAGAGGCAGGTGATTGAGCCGCAGGAACAGATATGGGATGTGAGGTGAAGGGAGCTGAGGAGGTTCGACGACTGAAGACCTGGGAAACGGAGTTACGCGGGGCTAGTACTTTGGATGTGCCTCGAAGCGGGGCAGATGATTGCATGGAAGAAGTCGGACGAGATGTGATGGGTGTGAGCAAAGGCAGCTGGGTAGAACCTGGGCGGGCAGTAGTCACAGTCGAGAGGAAGCAGGAGTTTCAATAAATGCACACACCGTGCGGGGAAAGAGCTCTAGAAAGAAGATCCTAGCTCGTCAATTGACTTCCGGAGCTCTACAAACAGCTATCGAGGGATCATCGAAGCCGAGGTGGGGGTGGCTTCAAGCTCTCTTATCGTGGGTTTATCGGTGTCCATCTACCTTAGTGCGGGGCAATAGCAGTCGGTGATGTCACAGTGGCATTATGTAGCCGTCGGTTTAATCGAGCTCCAGATGCACCACCACCTTCACCGAATGCAGAGCAGAGCAAATGCGCGCCCGGTAGTGGGACGATACAGCATAAGCACGGGCGAGATACAAGATGCAGTCATCACATCTTGTTATGCGATGTTAAATCTTATCCACCTCGGCCCAACTGGATCGGATGCTCCAGTGTCACGACAGTTAGCCACTATGAACAGGGGTTTCTTTAAACCATTGGAACGGGTATATCATATCGGGCCATGTAGAGAGTCAACGCAATTCCGAGCTACCTATCTGGCAGGTCCTTGGCCTGCTGATTGAAGCCATGACATGTCGTGACATACTGACCATCGTGGAAACCGCGTATGTACAATACGTGCCCCTTGTTCCTAGCCCCCTCGTTGAAGATCACACTCTGACAAGGATGCTTGTGCAGCAAGCACAGACACTCCTCCAGCCCTAAAATGGCCAGTCCCAAAACGTAGGTCCGGAACCTGAGATGCAGAAGCGGTAATTACAAAAACTAGATGAACTGGTACTCGGTCAGCTCTGCATTGACTATGCTATCGGATAGCGACATGGAAGGAGGGTCGGAAGCGTTCCACGACTCCACAGCAGTTCGTTTTTGCAAGGAGCAAGGGTCCGACTGTCTGTTGGGACCACGACAACCGACCGGCGATGATGGACGCCACGGCTTTTGTGGGCGAATAAGGAAGGCTGGAGGAGATGCGTGGCTGCATAAGGCATGATTGACAAAACGCAGAGGAAATGAAGGGGGAAAAAGAACCGGAATGGTTGCGCACGGCGTTGAAAATCCAAGACATGCCGGTGCCCCGGTGTCAGCAAGCCGTGCTCTCTGTATCGCGAATGAAACTGCAAGGCAAGGCGACAGGGGTTTCAAGCCTCACTTTTCAATGCTCCAAGTGTAACCTCCCAGCGGGAACTGGAAAGAATCTGGCAGCTGAGTCCATGTTTTACCTCCACATCCCCAGGCCAAGGGTAACCAGACCCGGTTCCCCATTCGCAGGCCGCATGCCAGATCCTAGATTTGCTCTGCTTTGACCTTGGGGCCAGGGGGAGAAACAGTTTTCCTTTCTTGGAACATCGAGATTTGTGAAGCCCATGAGGACACAACCTAGTTGACTGGGACCTGGTAACGTCGGACCTTTTTTTCCCCTGCAAGGAGCATGAGAAGATGCCCCTTTTGCGAGATCGGTCCTACACTGCAGTCGTGCATAGAGGCGCACCCTCTTCAGGTACACCGCCCAGGAGTGCGGTCTTACTTGCAGCTGCGAGGCGGAAACATCTGTGATTGGGTACCACGTCTGCAATCTACACTCACAACGTAGCATTTGGATGTCTTAGCATTGCGATATCCGATGTGTGTAGGTATCTAGGTACCATCCTAAACCCCACCAGAGTATAAACGAACGAATCTTGCTTAAGATGATCATGGGGGTGGCCGCAAAGGACTTGACATTCTGTATTCCAAAACAGATAGGCACATGTATTTTCTTTACTTTAAGACATGCTTAACTGGGAAAGAGAAGCGGAGAAAAAAAACAAAACCGAAAATCGAATTCCTGCCCATGCCAGTCTCACAAGACGAGTTGCGTAAATGGTAGGCTTTGAGCTCCCATCAGAATCAGGCTCGTTATTCGCCCTATATATCTCAACAAAACAAACAGAAGAAATTTCCCTAAAATAACCCATAATCATAAAATCCAGCAAGCTTCCAAATAGCGATATAACGCCAAATAGAAATCGCAATCATTGGGAAGCAAACACGTAGTGGAACAAGGGAGATGTAGACATGATCTCGCAGCCGCTCTGCTCAAGCTTCAGGCCCCATCAAGGAGTGGCGGCGCAGAGATGCCGGGTCGAAGCAGGCGAGACTCTTGGTGGACCGGCTTCCTCAGTCACAAGGGGTTCCGCATTGAGCACAGTTGAGGCCTGGAACCACCCAGACCTCTTTGCCCTCCTGAGCGCAGGTGGGGCATCGAGTGCCGGGGAGCTGTATAAAGTGTTAGCTGAAGTTCCAGATAGATCCCGGCCCATGGATCAGTACGACTGGTTTCACTTGCCTTGCCGGTCTCAATTGTTCCCTTGGGATGTGGGCTTGGGGGGTTGGAGTTGACGTCAAGGGAGAGAGCAGCAGCTCGTCTTCCGCCGAGAGAGAGAGAATCTTGGACACCCATGATGAAAGAAGATAGACGAGGGGGGCTGTTGAGTGAGGTAGTTTGATGTCTAGTAGAGGTTGCTAATGATTTGGTTGAGAAAGTAGTTCTTGAATAGATGGGAAGATGGTTTGTGTGAGAGAGCTGAGGGATGGATCGAGAGAAACGATGGGAGGAGGGGGATTAATATAGGTTTACGGATTCAACCTAAAGCACCGGAAGCTAAAGGTCATCTAAATGCTTAGGGGGAGCTAGAGCCTCAGATGTTACATCGATGAGAAGGCTCTCTCAAGCCGGCCACAGGAGAGCTGTGCCTACATGGTACATTACGAGGCTAAAGTGGACATCCGAGGGTAGGTGCTGATCCGGGGGCATCGACCTGGGATCCCGGGATACGACTGACGGCAAAAGACTAGATAGGCAGTGACGGGGAAACGAAACTTCGTGGACAGTGCGGCGTAGACGGGGCTCATCGAGGTTGGCGAGGACGGGCACTAGGCCAGGATCACCCTCGCATGAAGATGAGATATGGATAGGTCAGCGAGCACTAGTCGATACAATGACAATAGAAGGGCGTTTCGGCAGTAAATTCTATCAATCCAATCCATGCGGCTGCCCAGGCTCCGATAGACATACATGCTTGCGAGACCGAGAGGCACTTGTCGTGTCACTTGATACACACACCCGGGAGAACCGGCGGTAGCTGAAAGCCGCGATGGGTTTTGTCAGCGGACATCGACTTGTGAGCCTTGGTCGCATCACTTTCTCTCATTTCCAAGTCAGGCACTTTTCATAACCTCGAGTGACAGGCGGCTATTGGCTGTTGGCAGCTGTTAGTCTCCGGTGCAAGGATCAATTGATGTTGGAGCACAGGAGATGGGATCTATCCGACCCACTTAGTCGCCCACATATGCAGAGACTGTCGATTTTATTTGCTGGAGGATTTCTCTTTCTTTTCTTTTGCCGGTACTAGTTGAGAGGGGGTGATGGGGGCACTTGTTTCTTTTGGGGGTCTACACGCGCACACACACGTCTCTTCTTACATAGTCAAAGGGGAACTCAAGAGCAAGTACCCCGGCGGCAACTTGGGGGTGTGTGCGCCTGCAGGATGTTTGCTTGCGTCGGCAAGTGCATTGCCTGTAATATGAGACATGGAGCCCTTGCAAAAGCTGAACCCAAGGATCCTCAGATGGCTGAGCCCAGATACCAAGATCTGCTGCCGATGAGCCCGCCGGGAACCAGGTCATTGGGCTACGCAGCTTGAAGCCTGGGCCCCGGTCACCAAGAGTTGCGCAGGGGTTCCTCACTGCCGGAAGAGTGAGGAGGTTCACGTTACCTCCTCGCTTCTTCCAGCTTGGAGTTGGCATCCGGCTTATCCATCGAAGCCTTCGATCCACCCACAATGGGGTTTGGCTTCCACACTCGTGTTGAGCCTAAAGTGCAGCTCGCAAAACCAAGCCGTCACTGGAGTCACGTCAGCTCGTGACACAGTTCATACCGAACCACACCAAGTGTTGGCTGGATGGGGCGCAGCTATTCAAGGGCCACGCGGAAAGGCGAGACTAGTCATGTCTTCAGGAACGTGGCGTCGATTTGGGATGGGCCAGTGCATGGCATAAAAGCCGGTAGTCGAGCTGATTGGCCCTCGAGCTATGGAAACCCCTGCATGCTTCACATGTCTTTACCCAACCTGGTAAACTCGAGAAGCAGAGTTGGGGCCTGAGAAATTCACCAAGTTGCCTCTCCTCCCTCTCCTCTCCTCTCCTCTCCTCTCCTCTCTTCTCCCCGTCCCGCCGCCAACGGTACCTGCCGGTCAGGTAGACTGCTCGTCGATTTATGCATCAAGGGTAACAGGTACTTGTTTCTACCTGTCCATCCTATATCTGACTAGGTTGCGAGGAGGCACTACGGCCTGATGCAATGTGATGATATACACACCACAGGGAAACTGAAAAGAATACCGCTGGTACATGCGTCCCGTAAGTTCCCCTGTATCAGACCGAGATATGTATGTGCCAGGAGTATCATTAGTAGTAGGTAGGTAAGCAATACTTGGCTGCCTCGAGCATGCGGGCTTTGGGCAGCGGCGGCACGATATTGGTGGTCCCTCGACAACATCTCCTCGTAAGTATCACGCACTCTCGCGTCACGATGATCGAATCTACCATTTTTAAGGATCTGGTTTCTAAATAAAAGGAAATATTGCCATCTCACCGCGCCGCACAACAGTCTGAATCACTTGGTCGGGTTGTTGCCCCGACCCCTGATTGAAGCGCACGTTGATTACGACATTTCCTTTCTCTGCACCGTCTGTTTG